CATATGCAGGAAAATCATTAACGGTCTACATAAGAGCTGCACGCAATGTGAACATCTCATTCTTATGAGCATCAAAAACGGAAACCCCTTCGTCCCACATCTTTCTCAAATCGTCAACAAGTGGCGCAAGATAAACATCCATGTCGTTTCCAGGTTGCCTTGGACCCGATATCAATAGAGAAATCATTACGTATTTCCGTTTCATGCACAACCAATGAGGCAAATTGTAGATCACTAACAGTACCGGCCATGTGCTGTGTTAGGTACTAAGAGTGCCAAATGGATTCATCCCGTCCGTGCACAACCCTAACCTTAAATTTCTGACTTCATCACCAAATTTCCCAAACTTCATATCAATGTTCTTCCATTGCGGGGAGTCGGCTGGATGCTTTAGCATTCTGTTTTTCTTTCTTCCCTCTGCATGCCACCTCAAGTTTTTAGCGTATTTTGGTGTTGAGAAAAGACGCTTAAACCTTGGAATAATGGGAAGATACCACAACACCTTAGCAGGAGGTCCTTTTGTACCAGCATTGCAACTCATGCGCGACTTCTTGCATCGTGGACACTCCTCCAATTGTTCATATTCATTTCGATAAAGAATACAATCATTAGGACATGCATGTATCTTCTTATACTCCAAACCAAATGGACACATGAGCTTCTTTGCGTAATAGTAAGACTTAGGAATTTCATTCCCATAAGGCAACATCTCACTTTACGCGGTCAACAAAGAAGTAAAACTATTGTCCGTCCACCCATGCTTCGACTTAATGTTAAACAATGTTAGCATAGCTGATAGTTTGGAGTATTTTTTGTACCCAGGATACAAATGCTTTTTAGAAGCCTCCGATAATGACTCAAACACGTCACCTTCAACACCACGCATTATCTCATCCACCCCTTCATCCTCGACCTCATCCACCTGATCATCCTCAAATCCATCCTCATCACCATTATCAATAATATATTCATCATTCCTGTATTCCTCGTCCACACGAATTTCATTGCTTCTATCATGCACATCATTCCCATCAACATCCCCACTGTACTCTCCTTCTTCACCGTGCCAAATCCACACATGGTATTTAAGCCTAAACCCACGACAAACTACATGATCTCTAATGATATCAACACTATTGACCACCTTCACATTATTACAATCAACACAAGGACAATAGAGGCAATCGACACCCATTCTGCGCTGATAAGATGAAGCCCTCTCGCAAAACTCTTGAATCCCATCAAAGAATTCCAATGTATCACGTCTACCATACATCCAACCACGATCCTTCTCCATTAAGTAAATTGTCTCTAAACAGGGCAACATATTACGAATAATGTATAATTGCTACATATATTATATATGTAAATCAAATTCAAACACACACCATACATATAACATTCTTATAGTAAAAAAAAATGCATATATGCTTCCAAAGGGTCCTTATCACTCCAACCTAACCCGTCTTTGAACGTTTAATCTCACTAGTGAATGTATGTCGACTTTCCAATTTTAAGGAAAATCCGACAGCATTTCCTCCCAGCTCTCCAAGTACACGATGTAGATAATTACTTACCCATATATGTACCCAGAGAACAGGGTGAGGAAATGATAAGCCAATATGTTCCTTAAAATTGAAAAAAGAAGACATACATTCACCACCTAAGTGAGAGTAAAAGTTCAAGAACAATCCCAACCGGGGACTATTCAAGACTTTGTCCTAATGAGAAAGCCTTGAACGGGTATCTAGGCATATGATGATGCAAGCATTTTATATATTGTTGTATTTATTTGTCATTAAACAATACACAAGTTGTAATAGCATGAAAAAACTTTTATTAAATGAATAAAGAAAAAGAAATATAGATTAGAAAAGTTTATAATTCATACCAATAATATAGCAAGTACAATGGATGTATTCTTTCTACTTTCCCACTTGAGCTAAATATGTAGTCTTCAAGCTAAACTTGTGCTTCAATTCACATATGAATCTATAAAAAAACAAAAAGAAAAAACAAAACAAAAACAAAAGTTAGTAAGTATGAACTATCATTTGTCAATTGAAAACTATGAACTATCAAAGTATAAATCTATCATGTCTATCAATTAATTAATAATCAACAACTCCACAAGTATTCAAATCCAATTATTCAACTAAATAGCTAATTGTTGCAATACTCTATTCAATCAAATAATCAATTATTCAACAAGACAACGATTATATATCATTTTATTTCAAATTCCCAATCAAACTAACAATTATCATTTAGCAATAACTCAATACGACAATGCATCTTCCAATTGTCATTTTCCCTGGCCAATTACGATTCTTCTCCAATCTTTATTTTTCTCTTTACTCCTTTCTTCTTTGCGATTCCTCTCCATTCATTCTTTAGTTCTCTCCTTTCTCCCTTCTCCTCCCTAGTCCTAATTCTTCTCCCATATTTTGTTTTTCTATGTCCCTGAAAATGGCCCCCTTTGAAGATCGTCTATCTGTACTCCCGGAGGCAATTCTCTTCACCATTCTTTCTTTTTTTTGGTTAATAAGCAAGTTTTATTACCAAAAGAAAGAGGGTAAGCCCTCAACCCAAGCTACAACAACCCAAAAAGGGCCAACAAACCTGCAAAACCAATGCTAACAGATTAGCCATAAACACACACTAACAACAAAAACACAGCCTAACTAGGAATACAATGTTTAAGCTCATACAACCATTTACAATGGTTTCTCTTCCACTTACTACTAATGATCTGCTGAATTTTGTCAGTAACACTAGTACACAGTCTGTAGCAGAGCCTTCTAGGGTGAATAACAGCTTTGTTCCAAAGAGTCTCATTCTTTGCCATCCAAATATAGTAGACAAGGCCAGTAAGCACCGCAAACACAAACCTCCTCTTAATGTAGTTAGGAGCTGCTCTCTTTTAATGCTTCCAAATCTTTTCAATGTTAAAATGCTTCACCATTCTTTCACTTCTTCCTATCAAAGACGCCGTTAAGACAAGCATCTTAGCAAAGCCATGGCAGTACTGGTGGCGTTCCCTACCTAATGTCAAAATTGACGAGCGCCTTTTTGCCACCTTTGTCACCGGAATCAATCAACAAGACCCAAACATCAAACTTGGAGGGCAAAATCACAAATTCAACCAAGAACCCTAGATTACAAGAACTGTACTGGATATACGAAAACCACATTCCTTTTACTCACATGATATACGAAAATACAAGAACCCTTAAGTCGAAAATCAAATCAACGACAAACCCTAGATTGCGAAAACTGAAATCGATAATCTAAAAAGGACAAAAACAAATTCTTACCTCGAAGCTGATTCAATGGAGGTGAGAAAGCTCGAATCCGCTTCAATGGAGAATTAAGAGTACGCGTAATGGAGGAGTGATATGGACAAAGCTCAGAATGCGCTTCAATGGAGAACTACGAGCACGCGTAATGGAGGAGAGATATGGAGAAAGGTGAAACTTCAGAGGTGGCCGAAGCTAAGAGAACGGAGAAAACGAGATCGAGGGAAAACTGAAAATGAAAAGCAGGGGGAAAGAAAGAAAGAAAGAAGAAGAAAAAGGGGTTCCCGATTTTTTTTTATTTCGCACCGGTTTGGTTTGAACCGGTGCGAAGTCCCTTTCTCCCTTTTTTTTTCTCTTTTTTAATTGGCACCGGTTTAAACCGGTGCGAAAAAGATAATTTTTCACCGGTTCCTATTAAACCGGTGCGAAAAGTCTTTTTCCCAATCCCGCCCATTTCTTTTACCACCGGTTTTCAAGAACCGGTGCGAAAAGTGTGGTGCCTATTTCATTTTTTCTACTAGTGAAATCAGCATCGTTCGTCATCTCCATTGACGTAAAAGGTGGACGAATTTGCTGACAAAAATCAGATAAGGTATGTAATTCTTTACTATTTCTAGTGGTCCAACAATGGGGTTAATTTTGCAATTTATGTGTAAAGTTGGGTCTTTTTGGAAGAAAAAATTCAATAAACCCTAGTTTTATGTGCGCTAATGTGGTCAGATTAAATTAATGATCATGAATGTGTGTTTAACTAATAATTAATTGTATAAACGCATGTGCTCGAGTTTGGCGTGGATAGGTACTGTTGTTTAATTAGTTTTGTTGACTGTAATTAGTGTTAATTTATGGTCCTTGTTGGTCTGTGTAATGTGATTGTAGATGGCCAGTGGTGTTGATTGTCGTGACATTAGGCTTAGAATACATGGAAGATTTGTTCAAAAAAACCACAAGGGTAAAAGAATTTGGGTTTATGAAGGTGGTTGGGTTGATTGGAAAAGGAAGGCAAGACTGTCAGACATTACATAGAGTATCTTAGACACTCATGTATTGAAGGGATTGTATATGCTGAAAACCCTATGCCACATATGTTTAACATTTGGTATAAGGAAACAGGCAAGACTTGGGCCTCTGGTAGAAGAGAGATAGTTAATGAGGAAGAAGTGAGAGGGTTTTTGGAGGCAGTCCATGAAGATGGGCATCTTGAATTATTCTGCACAGTACAGTTTCCCAATGAACACATAACCCAAACACAAGAACAGATTACTACCCAAACTACAAACCAACCAGAAAAAAAACCAGAAAACCAACCCTTACTCAGAAGGAGCCCTAGCTTTAAAGAAGTGCAATCTGGAGGTGTGGATAGATCTGGTGGTATTCATGCTACTGTGAAAGATAATGGGAAACAAAAACTGATTGAAGGGGTTGGAGATGAAATTGTGAGGGGTAAACAAAAAGGGAAGGGTAAGAGTAATGCTAGGAGAAAGCTTTTTAGTGATGTTGATTCAGGATTAGGGTCTTCCTCATCAGAATACACTGACTTGGAGATAGATTGGGAAATTGGAGATCGCACTAGTAGAAAAAATTAAATAGGCACCCCCCCTATAGCACCGGTTCTTAAAAACCGGTGCCAAATAAAACGGGCGGGACCAAAAAAATTAAGAGTTGGCACCGGTTCTAACCCAAACCGGTGCCAAGCATGCAATTAGCACCGGTTCAAACCGGTGCCAACTTGTAAAATAAAAAAAAAAGGATGGGGAAGGAGTTGGCACCGGTTCTCCTTAAACCGGTGGCAAATAAGCAAGTAAGCACCGGTTCAAACCGGTGGCATTTAAAAAAAAAACGCGAGTTTGCTGGGTTTGTTGCTTCAACCTGTTCAATTCAACGACACTTTCTTCATTTCTCATGTTTGCTTCAAAAATTCCTAGAAAGTTTCGCCCTATTCTCTTCTCCCTCCATCTCCATTGAAAGGCTGTGCGAGCTTTCTCCTCTCCATTGAAGCAGTTAAGCTAAGCGACCTTAATTACTCACATTGCTACTTCAATTCTCTGCATTTCCTCTTCCCAAACCCTTCCTCCATTGAAGCTTCCATTGAAGCTTCGGCCTCCTCACACACGCAGCTTGGCTGGGGTTTGTTCTGCCTCCTCACGCACGCACGCACTCAGTTCTTCTCTTCTGCCTCCCTCCATGCATTATTGAAGCAGCTTCGACCTAGGTAAGTAATAACGCTCCTCCATTCACTTAGCTTCTCCATGTATTGCATTAACACCATTGTTGTGGTTTTATGAGGAATTGGTCTTTAGTTTAATATTTGTAAGTTTCTTGTAATTGCTAGGGCTTGGCAATTGCTACTTAACTACTCCATTAAACTCGCAAGGCTCCCCCTCCATTAAACGCACAAGGCTGCCCCTCCACAAATGTAAGTCCTTTGTAGTTGTTATTGTTGCTGTTTATAAGCTGAGAATTCTATTTAGTACAACCTGCATTTATCTATGATTCTAAATTGTTATGAGAACTTTATTCATCATCACTAATAAAGTTGAGAATTTTATTTTGTTTATAGGATAATTTAGTACTTTTTATTTAAGAGAACAAAGTTGAGAGGAAGCTAATAACAGTAGTTCATTTACATTAGTAGCTCATCAAATTCTACTAAAAAGCGTATCAAATGAGATAAGTAAGCATTAGATATTGAGTAAAGTATATAAGAGTAAAGCATTTATAGGATTAGGGTTTAAGGTATAGGGTTTAGGGTTTAGGGTATAGGGTATAGGGTTTAGGGTTTAGGGTTTAGCTAGGGTTTAGGGTTTCTGTAACTTATGAGTTTAAGCGTCGAACATTTTGATTCCTTCATTTAACTTCCCTTGAATATACTTTTCTTTACGAGTTGGTTCTCACTATATATGTGTTTCAGGCTAAGAAATGGGTGTCAAGGGCTTCTAGGGTAAGATCATCAGTTTGGAGAGTGGGCGGAAAGCATCCTGGTATCTTACTCTGACTGTCCTTGTTCTTGCTCACTAATATCATTCTTATCTTTTCCCTTAATCTGGTTTTCTATTTGTGTTCTATATAGGCTATATTGGAAAAGATTCAGAGGAATTTTTGGGCGAAGCATTGACCTTCTATTTGAGATAGTTGAGACTTTATAGGTACTAAGGTATATATATAACTTTATGTGCTATATATAAGTTCTTGTTTGCACACTTTTGTGGAGATGGTGTATGATATAACTTTAGTGCAACTTCTATCATGATGTGTGATTAATCCATTGTTTTTTAATTGATTGCATGTATCATCATATGCCTAGATACCCGTTCAAGGCTTTCTCATTAGGAGAAAGTCTTGAATAGTCCCCGGTTGGGACTGTTCTTGAACGTTTATACTCACTTAGGCGGTGAATGTATGTCCTTTTTTTTCGATTTTAAGGAACATCTTGGCTTACCATTTCCTCGATCACCATGTTCTCTACGTACATATGTGGGTAAGTAATTACCTACGTCGTGTACTTGGAGAACTGGGGGGAAATGCTGCCGGATTTTCCTTAAAATTGGAAAGTCGACATACATTCACTAGTGAGAGTAAACATTCAAGGATGGGTTAGGTTGGAGTGATAAGGGCCCTTTGGAAGCATATATGCATTTTTGTATCTATATGAATGTTATATGCATGTTGTGTGTTTGAATTTGATTTACATATATAATAGATGGTAGCAATTATACATGATTCGTAATATGTTGCCCTGTTTTGAGATAATTTACTTAATGGAGAAGGATCGTGGTTGGATGTATGGTAGACGTGATACATTGGAATTCTTTAATGGGGTTCAAGAGTTTTGCACGAGGGCTTCATCTTATCAGCGCAGAATGGGTTTCGATTGCCTCTATTGTCCTTGTGTTGATTACAATAATGTGAAGGTGGTCAATAGTGTTGATATCATTAGAGATCATGTAGTTTGTCGTGGGTTTAGGTTTAAATACCATATGTGGACTTGGCACGGTGAAGAAGGAGGGTACAGTGGGGATGTTATTGGGAATGATGTGCATGATGATAGAAACAATAACATTTGTGTGGAAGAGGAATACAAGAATGATGAACATATTGTTGATACTTGTGCTGAGGATGTATTTGAGGATGATCATGTGGATGAGGTCGAGGATGAAGGGGTGGATGAGATGATGCGTGGTTTTGAAGGTGACGTGTTTGAGTCATTATCGGAGGCTTCTAAAAAGCCTTTGTATCCTGGCTGCAAAAAATACTCTAAACTATCCGCCGTGCTAACACTTTTTAACATTAAGTCGAAGCATGGGTGGACGGACAGTAGTTTTACTTCTTTGTTGAGCGTGTCAAGTGAGATGTTGCCCGACGGGAATGAAATTTCTAAGTCTTACTATTACGCTAAGAAGCTCATGTGTCCATTTGGTTTGGAGTATAAGAAGATACATGCATGTCCTAATGATTGTATTCTTTATCGAACTGAATATGAAAAATTGGAGGAGTGTCCACGATGTAAGAAGTCGCGCTACAAGCGCATGAGTTGCAATGCTGGTAAGCAGGGACCTCCTGCTAAGGTGTTATGGTATCTTCCCATTATTCCAAGGTTTAAGCGTCTATTCTCAACACCAACAGACGCTAAAAACTTGAGGTGGCATGCAGAGGGAAGAAAGAATAACAGAATGCTGAAGCATCCAGCCGACTCCCCGCAATGGAAGAACCTTGATATTAAGTTTGGAGAATTTGGTGATGAAGTTAGAAATTTAAGGCTTGGTTTGTGCACGGATGGGATGAATCCATTTGGCACTCTCAGTACCCAGCATAGCACATGGCCGGTACTGTTAGTGATCTACAATTTGCCTCATTGGTTGTGCATGAAACAGAAATACGTAATGATTTCTCTATTGATATCAGGGCCAAGGCAACCTAGAAATGACATAGATGTTTATCTTGCGCCCCTTGTTGATGATTTGAGAAAGATGTCGGACGAAGGGGTTTCTGTTTTTGATGCTCATAAGAATGAGATGTTCACATTGCGTGCAGCTCTTATGTGGACCGTTAATGATTTTCCTACGTATGGAAACTTGTCCGGGTATAAGAACAAAGGGAAAAAAGCATGCCCCATTTGTATTGATGATACGCCAAGCAGACGCCTTGATCATTCTCACAAAGAGGTGTACTTGCGCACCCGAAGGTTGCTCAGGCGCGATCACCCGTACCGTAGGCAGAAAAAGGCTTTCGATGGGACAGTGGAAGAGGGGACTGCTCCTAGGCCGTTGACTGGTGAGGAAGTTTACGCTCGAGTAAAGGGTGTACGAACAGTCTTTGGGAAATCAGAAAAAGCGGCGGAGTCAACTTCTCTCTTTAAAAAAGAATCAATCTTTTGGTTGCTCCCGTAATGGAAAGAACATGACGTTAGGCACTGTCTTGATGTAATGCATATAGAGAAGAATGTGTGTGATGCACTTGTGGGAACGCTGTTGAATATTCAAAGTAAGACAAAGGACGGAAAGGGTGCACGGGACGATTTGAAAAAAATGGGGGTTCGTCCAGAATTGTGGGTTCAACAAAGGTTTAGTAAGGGAAAGGAAAAGGAAAAGGAAAATGAATTGAGTTCGAAAACAGGAAAGGGGAAGAGCAAGGGAAAGGGAAAGGCTACGGATGCGTCGAAGAAGAAAAACGAGGGAAAAGCCAAGGAGGGCAAGGCCTATTTACCTCCGGCTTGCTACACATTGTCAAGGGTAGAAAAACGGATGTTTTGTGCATGTCTGTATGGCATTAAGGTTCCATCAAGGTACGCATCTAACATGAAAGATTTGTATCCTTAAATGGAGAATTAAAGCTGACAAGTATGAAATCCCATGATTGTCATGTTCTGATGCAAGTTTTCCTACCAATTGCAATACGTGGTATTTTACCAAAGCACGTGCGGGAAGCTATTACAAGCCTCTGTTCGTTTTTCAATACAATATGCAGCAAAGTTCTACGGTCAACTTGGATGCTACGGTGGCATCAATTAAGGAACAATTGCGCAACGAGATGCGAGAAGAGTTCAATGCATGGGCAAAGCAAATGAACTTGCTGAGCTTGCTTTCTCCTCGACTACACCGGTCGACTCTTGTAGTTACCCACGAAAACAAGGAGAAGATGAGATACATGCAGACGAGGAGGTACATGATTACGTGGTTTCTAATTTATAAGTATTTTGACTTGTTGAGTTACGTGGGTTCTAATTAGCCTCGCACTATCAATACACTGTTGCAGGTTGGTAATCCTGCACGTGCGTACTTGAGGGAGCTTGAAAATCCAACACCTCATGACTTTCCGGTTCTACAGGTGAGTTGTGTAGTTATTTCTTTAGATGGTGATATTGGTTCTTTGATTCAGTTGTGAATTTGTGAAGTTTGTTGTGTTGTGCGGTTTTTGAGTTGTTTTGTGCTGTATGTTGTTGCGGTTGAGTTGCTAATGATGTGTTGCTATTGAACTGCTGTTGGTGTTGGGTTTTGCTGTTGTTTAGTTGCTGCACAAGGGGTAGGAATGATGGCCTTACTCGGGCCATTTTGGTTGAAAATGCGTTCTAAAACCCCTTAATTGCTATTTTCTTGTAATTTCAAGCCTTAGTCACCAATAACTAAGTGATAAAGACATGTTATGACTAATTATGAGTTCACTAGACAAGAAATGTAGGAAATAGGCATCCTAGTAGTCAAAATGGCCTTACTCGGGCCATTTTGGTTGAAAATGCGTTCTAAAACCCCTTAATTGCTATTTTCTTGTAATTTCAAGCCTTGGCCACCTATAAATAAGTGATAAAGACATGTTATGACTATTTATGAGTTCACTAGATAAGAAATGTAGGAAATAGGCATCCTAGTAGTGAAAATGGCCTTACTCGGGCCATTTTGGTTGAAAATGCGTTCTAAAACCCCTTAATTGCTATTTTCTTGTAATTTCAAGCCTTAGTCACCAATAACTAAGTGATAAAGACATGTTATGATTATTTATGAGTGCACCAGTGCACAGCACACCGGTGCACAGCGCACCACTGCATAGCACAGCAGCTGGCACAGCAGTGCACCACTGCACAGCACAGCAGCTGGCAGCAGTGCACCAGTGTAACATGCAGCAGGCAGCAGTGCTGTGTTGCTGTTTTCGCGTTGCTGCTCTTTTTGCGTTGTTGCTGCTGTTTTTACTGTGCTATTGCTTTTTTTTTTTTTTTTTACTTTTTTTTTGTTTTTCTTTTCTTTGTTCTACTTGGTTCTAACAACTGATCTTCCTAATTGGTGTAGGAAGAGACCCGTTGTGAACTTCTTCACCCGGGCAATTCATACAGTGGAGCTTTGAACTTGGTTGCGTATGGAAGTGCTCAACTGGCCGAACAAGGTACAATCCATTTGCGACCGCTTCGGCCAGAGCACTATTCGGTTGGGATCAATTCTGTGGTGGCCGGGTTCGAGGACATCCTAATACCTGTGCCCGTAGAGGAGGATGAGTTCACTACACTTTGGGCAGCCAAAGATAGTTTTGTGCAATGGCCATGTGCTTGGATACGGTTTACGACCCAAGTAATTTACATTTAGAGTTCACGCTTTACTCTATACCCGATTTTAATCCCAAGAGTTTGAAGAAATTCTTTTTTAACCATTTGTGTGCTTTAATTTGTCTTATTAGCCATCGAGGAAAAGCCAAACTTCAAAGAAGAGGGTGGAGGGGCAAAAGAGCATTGATCGACCGATGTCAAAGAAGAGGAGTGAACATGGGTCGATGAGTGGAAAAGCGCCGAACAAGAGCTCTTCGCGAGGTTCAGCTATGCAAGCTACTCCACTAGTTGAAGACACGGTGCTTCAATCGCTCTCTAAGGAGTTAACTTATCTACACAACCGTGTTTGTGTGTTGCCTAGTGATAGCCCCATTCAAGTTCCACTACCTAAGGAAATGTTCCACTACGATGATGATGCAATGGCATGGCTATTCAAAGAAGATGTGAAGGAATTTCTAAGTGGTGCAATGCTTAACATTTCCCTCATTCAAATATGCATCAGGTAATTCAACTAGTACTCAATTTATGTTATT